TTGCATGTGAGGAGAAACAACTCCAGACACCAAGCCCCTTCTGGGAAATCCAGTCTTGAGTCTGGTGCCCAAACCAGAGAGCACAGCTTGGAATGCTCAGTTAGTTTGCAGCCTGCATGTGACACACATTACCGTTTTACTTGCCAATGGAGACAGGGAGAGAGGGAAAGGCAGAGAATGAAATGAAAACAGAGAGAGATTTGAAGCAAGTTTGGATTAGGAAGAGAATGTGCAAGAATACAGAGGAGAGGCAAAAAAAAAAACAAAAAAAAACCAGCTGAGCTATAATGAAGCTACAATGGAGGACAGGTGTATGTGAAGGACGGGTGGAAGCCAAGACGCACTGCAGGTTTTCAGGGATTGCCACCAGATGGTGGTGTCAGCCTCAAGTAGTGTGGTTGCTGTCCATATTGAGATAGACAGGTGAAGTCTCCAGGGTTGAGGGCTGGGAGAGAGTCAAGAAAACAGTGTGTCTCTGCACACCCATGTCTATTAACTCAAGAAGTTCCAAATCCTGGGTGAATAACCTCACTGACATCTCTTCCAGCCAGTCATGTGCTGTCAATGGCCAGCTGGAAATAAACCAGAGATTGTACATTAGCAACTGTCTCCATCTTTACTCAGATATCTGGAATCAACCATAGGGACAATAATTTGCATGGATTCCCAATCTGTCAAAATAAAAAAAATAGAAGCTAGAAGCTACCCGGCCCTCCAGCTCCCTTCACTGGGGATGACAGTGTGGAGAATGGCAGGACATAGTGAGGGCTTAAGGCACAGAACTTTCCTCTGCAATTAATCTTTTTGTTCTTTTGGCCACCCCATAGCTATACCAGAGTATCCTTTTCACTGTAGCATATATTCTAACCTCTGAATGTCCTCAGTTTCCTCATCCTGGAATAAGACAACCTTATGAGCTGGTTGGGAGAGACAGTGTGAAGCCACCAGAGCCCTCTTCGTTTGTACACTACCTGAAATGCCTGAGGCCCATCTCAGTTCCCAGGTAGCTTCTGGATCCGCTGTTTATTACAGTCCCTAAAGTGGGCTGGCCACCAAGGGGCCAGTTGCCAATGCTGCTGCTGTCTGGGACCTAGCACTTTCCTGGAAGAGGCCTGCTTCCCAGGAAGAGTCCACTCCCGGACCAGGACTGGCCCTGCAGGTTAGTCTTTATAGTCCAGGAAAGTCCCTGCCCTCAGCCTCCAGGCAGATTCTTGCCCCGCCACCAGGGTTCTACTCAGACAGACACTTCCTCCAGAGTCTGTCCTAACTCTTTCCTCCTTTCAGTTTCCTGGACACCTTGGGGCTACTTCTCTTTAGGGTCTTTTACCAGAACCTCTTTTGGTTCTGATATAACTCATACTTCCTATGCCATAATAGGAAGAGCACAGGATTGGTACTGGGAAACCCTGAGTTTGAATCCATTGTGCAACTAACAATGTGGCCTTTGGCAAGTCTCTTATGATGATCTTGAACCTCATTTCTCAGACCATCCAGTAGCAATGATGCCACCTGCCTTTCAGGGCTGCCGTGCAGTCCCTGACACCATGCCCGGCTAACAGCAGATACTCTGGCAACAGTAACCATGACAGGATATTTTGCCTTTTGGCATGCTTCTATGTGAACACATGAATACTGTGTGAATTCAGGGTCTGACATATTAGGAGTTCAGAAAAGATTTGCGGAACTGACATTGACCTCTGAAATGTGCCTTGAGCAAGCTAAGCTCATGTAGGAGACAGTTCCCACCCGTGGAATGGTTTCTTTCAGCAGGAGGCACACAGCTGCCACCTTCCCCTGAATGGTCCCACCCAGCCCTGATGGAGAAGGCTGGGCCTTGACCGCCCTCCCGGATTGGGAGGGGAGGCCATAGACAAGAACCAGGGCATGAGAGGCTATGGAAGGGGCAGAGAAAGCCTGAGTCCGGATCCTGATGCCCACCCTGGATCTCTGTGGCCTAAACTCTCCTTTAAATTGTGGTCTTTTGTATAAATGGCAGGGAATAGAAGGGGAGTTTAAGTAGACAACCTCAAGTATCTGTTTTAATGAGGACATTCCATAGAGAGGCCATGTTCCTGGAAACCACGTCACCATCCTCTGGCACCTGGTGAGGCCTGCACTGCTACCTCGGGGTGGAGACAAAAATCTGCCACTGCACAGGGAGGCCTCTTGAGTCCCACTCCCCCACCAGGGCTGGCCCTGCCCTTCCTTTGACTGTCCCTCCATTAACACATCGAAGAACACCCAGAAGGCGTCTTCTTATGTATCCCTGGGTTCAGTCCTCATTACGCTCACCTCCTGAGGGCTGAGGCACTTCCCACTGAACGCCAGCTCTGTGCTGCCACAGGGGCTGTCATCACAGCCAGCAGCTGTGTTGGTGGTGCTGGGGGGCTGGGGGAGCATGAGACCTCCCCTGGGCTTCCTGCTTCTCTGGCTCCAGACACTGTTGAAGACAGGGCTGGGTGGCTGGCTTCCTGTGGGGATCTCATCAGTCCCCAGATGCCTGCTCGCAGCATACCACGGGCTCTGATCATAGCCACTGCTGCCATGGCCATGGGACATACCCACACCCAGCCCTGCTCTTGAAGCCATGGCGCTCCATACCACTCTGGGCTGGACTTCCAAGGTGGCATCTCACAGCCACTGAGGCCTGGGTCAACAGCACAGAGGGGGAACCTCAAGATGTACAACCAGAAAGGCAGGTGGGAGCCAAGTACAAAGGGCCTGGCTATTCCTCAAAGGTGCTGGCCATCTGGAGGGCAGTCAGGGCAGGACATTGGGCAGGGGTGACTCGGCCAGTCGATATGTCAGATGGTGGGTTAGACGGCCGGGAAGAGGTCAGGGGTCAGAGTGGTGGTCCACGAGAGAGGTGATCAGAGCTGATGGTAAGCAGGAGCTATGTGAATGGAGATGAGGTGGGAAGGTGCCGGCATGCAGAGGGTATGAACAGGAGAGGGGAGGATTCCAGCTCTGCCATCCTGGGCCAGCTAGCTGAGCTTTTCTGCTTCTTCATCTGCAAATTAGGGTAGAATAGCACTGGTTTAATGAGATAAGACAGAAAATGTACTCAGCAAGGTGCTGGGCACCTGGCCTTTTCAATAAAAGTCAGCAGTGATTCCACTGCTGCTGCCAGCGGCCCGTATCTCCAATGCTAGATTTGCAGCTTTGGCCACGGGGTGAGCAGTGCGGCCCTAACCAGGATGGCTGGGTATTGAGGGGTGCAAGGTGCTCTGATACATTCCGTATTGGGTGTGTACTTCCAAGAGTCATGAGGGAGCTGCAGAGGGGAACTCGTAGGCAGATGTGGAGCTCAGGAGAGGGCTCCACAGGGACTGTGGAGGTGCGGTCCTCAGGATACAGCTGAACAGTGCTCGGAAATAAGGCATTTTCTGCATGAGAACACATGCTCAGCAGCGAACCCCAGAGGGCTTGGGCAGAGCGGAGTTCAGGGGAGTGGGAGCACAAGCAGCCAGCAGAAGGTGAGAGGTGAGAGACAGACAGCAGGGAGCAGGGAGCATAGACTCCAGGCTGCGGAGAGAAGGAACCAGAGGAGAATGGTGGCTTGGGAGGGGTCTGCGCAGGTTGAGAAACACTTGTCATTTTGGAGATGGGAGGAGAAGTTGAAGATGCGAAAAAGCAGAGGGGTTACATGGTGAAGGAGACCCCCCAAAGAAACAAGCAGTGAATCCTGATGAGGTGGAAGAATGAGGAGAAGCAGGAATAAGACATTGTAAGAATGAAACAGCAAAAGAACTAACACAACTAACTCCATTTTCAATCAAGGGAGCCCTTACCCATTCCTGCACGTAGGTTAGGATAATTTTAGGGCACTGAGATAAAACGCAAAAACAGTAATCATGTAGTTTTTGAAACTAACTCTGGGATTAAAGGAGAAGTATGTAAACAACTATGTTTCATTAAAGGTTTATAGGAGCTTTGTGATCTGACCAAGGACAAAGGAGTGTCCAACTTCCTGGCCCCTCACTGGTGCCCAGATGTTAGCAACTGTTGGTCATGTCTTTGACAAAAAAAAAGAGCCTAGAATTTCTATTGACTTGAGATGTCTCTACAACACTAGTTTGCCCTCTCCTCAGGTTGTCAGCTCTTGAATAAGCCTGCGTTTCCTTCCACCAAATCTTAAGTTTAGCTTCCAAGCAGCAAGTAGGAGAACCTGATTTCTGTTACAACATTTTAAGGAATTCCAAACTATGAGATGGGCCAGGGTGCAGCCACAGGGCACTCAGAACTGGGGTACTATGAGAACCTGGGAACCTACAGATGGGCTGGGGGAGAAGAGAGATAGAGGAGACCCCATAAAGGGGAAGATTGGGTAGCCTCAATCCTCAGCTGAGCCAAAGATCAGCTCTGCAAGAGGTCAGGGTTCCCCCAGCCAACAGGAGTGTGGGTGGGAGCAGGGAGGCTTCCTGGAGCCAGAGCTTGGTGCAGAGGGAGGTTTTAGAGTGAGAATGCCAGGGAGGTTGGCAGGCTCCAGGTGCCTTTCCACCCCCTTAGTTTGCCCAGCTTCCTCATGATGCTCTCTGGGTCCACTGTGGCAGGACATGGGCTTAGGACCCTCTCTAAAGGCTCCATCTTTTGTGGACCACAGACCCCTTTCAGAAAACTGAAGAGAACACCAGACCCTCACACACACAATACAAATGTCCACAAAAATTCCTGGGTGTTGATGGCTTCCCTGAGATCCATCCATAGACCCAGGAGTCTGAGGTACTAATTGTACACATAAACAGGAAGTAATCACCTTGGCTGCCTCCAGCAGCTAGGAAGCTGTCATAAAGGAAAACAGAAGGCTGATTCCTTCAGCACAGCCCAGAACCCCACACAGACCACCTACTAATGAGCTTTCTCCTCTTTGCTAATACAGGACACTGTAATAAAGTTTAATGTGGAAGAACAAGGTGCATTTAACCAAAGCTGTAAACATCTCTAATTCTACTTAAAACTATCGAGTGCAGTACATTAACATTTAACAATCGGACACTAAATTGGAGTGACGCTAATAGAGTTGTGCTTATTAGAAACGAGGCACCAAGTCGTCTTTCACCAATGACAACAGAAGGAGCAGAAATCCTCCACAGCCACCCTTCCCCACCACGCTGCATGTTCAGGAAGAGTCTTGTCCAAATCACTGTCCCCCACCCAGGAAGATGAGGATTGCTTTGGGGAAAATACACTCAGCAGATAAGACACAGCTCAGTGCCCATGTCTGTTAGCCTTGTGCATTGGGGAATTTGTTATTTTCCCAGAGAAAGAAAGCACTTTAAAAAATGAATACTCAATTAATTCAGAATGAGCAAAGGCTCAACCTCTATTCTCCCTGCCCTCTGCACAGTTCACACACGGAGCCCTTCTTCCTTTGAGAGACCCCCAGGTGCAGCTTTCTCCTGGCTCTCCCCTGCTGCTCTGACTGTTGCTGTCCTCTGATCTCCACCTGGATCTCCTCACCTGCTGTGCATCTGCCAGCATGGGTGCTCCCCACTGCTCAGGCCCAGCCCTTCCCCTTCTCATTGCGTGAGCAGCCTCTCCCTGGGAATCTTGCCCAATCTTTGGCAGTGTCCTATGCCCTGAGGACACCCCCTTTCTTGCAATCAGCACCAGATCCATATTTCCAACAGTTTACATCCTTGCTACTCAAAGTGTTGGTCCCAGGACCAGAAGCATGGACATCCCTGGGAGCTTGTTAGAAACTCAGAATCCCAGGTGCTATCTTGGGACGGCAGGCGTCCTGAGCCAGGATCTACATTTTAACAAGATCTCGATGATTTGTGCAAGCACTAAGGTTGAGAAAGCGCCAGTCTATGTGCCCGCCTATCTGGACACCCCACGGCCACTCCAGCCCAGCATGGCCATGCTGAATGCAGACCCCTCCCATAGACCATGAATTTTTGTTTGGTTCTCCTGTCTGAGGAACAGCTTCTGTCCCATGTATGGAAATGAGAGTGTGGTCTGGGGTGGGGTCAATGTCCCCACCATGGAAGCCAGCCTAAGCTTTAGGCTGACACAAAAAGACTCCCTCCAGCATGCATGTGGCATGGCTCTTCTGTGTTAGCACCCTGTGCCCTTCCACCTGCTGCCTCCAGCGCCCCTCAGTCCTGCTCTGGCCCTGCTGCTGTCCCTCTCCAAATCTGAGGGCTCCCTTCCTTAGGGAGCGCATCAGTCCTGGAGCCCTCCATCGAGAGCTCTCCATTGAGAAAGGCATCTTCAGAGCCAGGGATGTGCCCACGCGGCGGCAGGAAGCACAGTGCAGCAGGAGCTCACAGATGCAATCCAGCCACCAGTGTGCCCTAATTGGAATGGATATCAGTGTTTTTTTGTTGTTGTGATTTTTGCTTCCTGTGCTAGGAAGCAACTTTGATACATACCCTATTCAGATTCTTTTTATTTATTTATTTATTTATTTATTTATTTTTTATTTTTCTAAAAGTTTTTTTTTTTCCCATTTATTTATTTTATTGTATTTTAGGTTTTGGGGTACATGTGAAGAACATGCAAAATTGTTGCATA